TAAAACTCCTCCATCGCACTGAGAAATTGTTACCGCAGACTAATATAGCTACAAACAGTTTATGGTATTTGACAAGCCTTCCTGCTGACTACTGACAACACGGTACAGTGATGAAGAGCCCACCCCAACGCAGATTGAATATGGAACGGAAGAACTGTTTTTAGGGATTTCCGTCTCTTAGTTCATAAAAAGAGCTCAGTCCTATCAACTTTATATAACGTGTTTTGCTCTCCCCTCGAAAGTAACGAGCCCCGAAGGCTACTAATTCCGAAAGTAACGAGGGTCGTTACTTTCTGAAGTTTACGGTATTAACCTCTCTACTACGGCAACGACCACTGAAACGCGTCTCTACCGCCAAAATAACCTTGACCGACGAACGGTGTAACCAAAACCCCATTGTTTTTCTTATAAAAAGACACCAAACTTGATCCGTGACGCGCGTCGTTGCCTACCATTTCTGTTTTATCGATATACTTTGATCGTGTTGCGTAGTGTTAACATGCGAAAATAAGCATCTAAGAAATAAGCAATAAGAATAAGAAACGATGCACACCCCCCAAAAAACAGGTGTCATGTTACACCCCTTCCTTCCCATAGAGGCCATCTCTGTTCAACGGCCACTTTCCTGTCTCCAAGGTGGCCGCGGTGGAGTGGAGAGGTTCGATTGAGGTTTGAAGTGATGCATCATGGGATATATGAAAATTTCTCCCTACCCTCCTCCTTTTAAATTTTTATTTTATAAATTAGTGCATAGATAACTTGTTTCAGTTGTTACTAGACTATATTTCTTTCCTGGACCTTTAAATGAGCCATCTCAACCCTCAAGTGCAAGTTTGTGTCTGTACTGCATTGTGAAGACAAACACATTTGGAGCAAAACTGAATACAAATCAATGCACACAGCCTAAAAGCTGACCAGCTTTATTAAGTTTGCTGCAAACAACCAGTTTTTGACACAATAAAGTAACATCTTAGAGGCCACTGCCCAGCGTTAACACAAAGAAAAGGGACAAAAAAAAAAAAAAATGCTAAAAAAAAACACACACAAAAATTCAATAATCACTTGACTATGTTACATAATGATCTGGCGTCCTGAAATGAAAATTAATTTGGAAATCCTACTGGTTAAAAATCTCCCTTTTTCTATAACTTTTTATAAGAGTCCTCTACATAATGTTACTGATGCCTGAAGTTGATACAGTACTTTTAAGATTCAAGAATGTTACCCTGTACTGTAGAGTACAGTGAAGGCGTTTACTGGTGTACATAAAATGAGGTACAAGTTTAAGTAGTTTTTTTCTTAAAAGTACTTTCCAACTAGTAAAAGGAGTATTTTACAAACAATTTTAAATTATTGTCTTCTCTTTCCAAAACGCTTAAAACAAAACATGATTTCCCATGAAAAAGAGCTGTAATTAATAGAGATGGTAAATAATGTGATGTCTTGGGTGCATTGTACTGCATGTGAAGACAAACATATTTCCCCTGTTCAGCTTCTAATAATTCTTGCCAGAATACTGTCGTACACTGTAAAACAAAACAAATTATTACTTAGATACACTTTTATCATACAACTTGAAATCAGCTTTTAGTAACAGTACTTTACTTGATCTAATAAGTACTCCGGGCGCTTACTTCAAATGTATGTTCTAAGGGACACTCGATCGAGGGGCGGACAGTGCTTATTAATTTTAACAACATCAATAGGACTCAGTTTGTTTTCTGTGACGTAGCATGTACTAAAGTCTTGATGTTGAAGGTACTCGTCATCTCCATCTTCATCGTTGTCGATGATAGTCACCTTGTAAACCTAGTGTAGCCATACCTATAAATTCTTGCTGTTTTTAGCAGGGAGGAGAGGGTGTAAGAGGCGTGCCTATTTGAGGCGTGCTTTACTTCAAATTTTATGTTCAAGGGAGGCACTTAATTAAAGAGGGGCTGCTTGTTCGAGAGAGGGTGCTTATTTGATCAAATAAGTTATGTCTACAATATTAATTCAAAACGTTAAAATGTAAAACGTTAATTCATTTAAAGTACAAAGTTGTGCAAATGCCAAATTTTGTTTGCACTCAATCTTAATCTTTCTCAGTCATAACCAACTTAATTTATTTTCATTCTTAAAAGTTCTCCAGTGTTACCTATCTTAGAAAACTATCATTCTGAGGTGTCCTTCAATTTGAAAGTAATTTAGTACGTATCATTACATAGGTCCTTAAGCAAGGTATTCTAGAAGATGTTCAGCTTAGAAGAACAACACTCACCTTTGTTGAAGTAGAAACTGAGCAAAATTAATCTGGGATTGGTTGCCCCCGATGGTAATGATCCTGTCATTAGAGCCTGGAAGAGGATCATCGATCTTGATGTTTGCACCACTACGTTGTCTGTAAGATAAAACAAGTGAGCTGCAACTAAAGTATTAGCATGGGAACACTGCAGTGCAACAACGCCTTACCTTATTTGTCGAATTCTTTCACCTCCTTTTCCAATAATGGATCCTGCCAACTGCAATTGTAAATAAAACATATACTTTAATCATGAGTTCAATTTGTGTTTTTTTTTATATGCAATGAGGTCTGCAAAGTTTCATTAAATGTAGTTCAAGTTGTCGAAAAGAAAATTGTCAAACTACTTGTCAAAAAGTAACCAAAGTCACACCAGTTGGAATTCTGTGTTTCCATTCACTGTCCAAGGAACCCTAGTCACACCAAATCTTATTGCTACAGGAACTCACGGGTTAAATAAACAATTAAGAAACAAACAGTCTAATGCCAACTCCAAATCCTGCCATGTCCAATGACATTACTTACATCTTTGGGGATGGTAACTTGAGTTGAAGTTTGTTCTCCTCCAGGTGCTGCCCCAGCTCCCCCCTGATTCCACTGACCTACAGTCAAACAAACATAACAACTCAAGGATTATCATTATTATAACTCCACTTAGTTCCAGCAAGATTACATTACAGAATTTGAGATCTTAGATACTTTAATAGGAGATACCACACAGCAGTGGTACAAAAGATGGACCAGTAAATGTATCGTCCATCAACAGAAAACAAATCACTGTCTGTTTATCACCTACAGAAAAATAAGGAAGAAACAAACTAAAAAATTGTATTGACCATGTTTTCTCTAATTTGCATATGCATCTTAGGTTTTAATGGTTTCTTCCTCACCAAAACTACCAGAATGATACCATACTATCCACTAAAAGGATAAGCACACAAATGCAACAATTTTTTAAGCCAGAGAAACAATTTTTACCTCCCATATCTCCTCCCATGTTTGCACCGCCACCCTGAAATTAAAAATGAAAACAATGCCTGAATCCTACAGTTTAACTACTTGTCTCTTGAGCCACTTTGTGGTATTTATTAGATACTTGACAATTTCTTGGAATGAGAACTCAGTGCCCACTATACTTTTGATTCTTTGGAAACTGCAATTTTGTGAAAGTGTAGCAAGGAATAAAACTTACAAAATCCTGTGAGAAGTTTCCTCCAAATCCCATGTTATCACCTCCACCAAAATTGCCACCCCCTCTTCCACCACGACCTCCACGTCCACCACGGCCTCTGCCACCTCCATCTCTCCCTCCACCTCTTCCTCCACTTCGTCCTCGTCCACCACCACCACCACCTCCATAACCTCCGCCATAATCCCAGTCATTAGGTCTCGATGGATCATACAATGACACTGGCCCCTTTAATGGTGTCTAAATGGGAATCAAAGCAACAAAGAAATACAATTAAAAACTACAATATCAAACACTAGACAGACTCCAAATAACATGCATTTTCAAAAAGAGGTAGCTATAAAGATAAATTGCCATTCCTTGTACCACCTAATTTGAAACCAAGCAATATATTCTAAAGTCATTACAAAACTCATACTCATAGGTCAAATACAGCAAAATAATTAATGTGGAGTAAAAGAAGCCTTGGGTAGCTTAATCAAGAAAAGTCAGCAACACAGTACTGGGTATACAATCTATACACTCTTGACACTAGCAAAAATTGTACCACAGCGATCCCAAACTCAACCCCTCTGCCATGCTGATGGCAACAACCTCTCTGAGTTGACCAGGAGGATGTTTCCTTAGAACAGAAAGGAATTCTGTCTTTGCTGTGTGGATTAAAATTGATACCACCATTTTCCATGCTAGATATGCTTACTTGATTCAGTTGGTCAATCACTTCCCTAACACAAGCCACTATCACATCATCAGAACCTGTACAAAATAATCCCACAAAGTACCATCAGACAAAGTAAACCACTAAAAAATTTTGCATAGGCAAGGAAAAACTGTTTTTAACATGAAACAACAATATAGCAAAAGAAACCCCACCACGAATGGAAACAATCCTTTCTGTTGATCCTGGTAAACAATCAGCAAAAACCTAAAAATAATGAAATGAAGTTGTTTCATGCTATAACACTATGGAATTTGCTTAAATAGTTTAATAATTTCTTCAATTTCTTTAATGTTTATTGTGCACTTTTGTACAGAACAAGTTCTCACCTTAATTTGCGCTCCAGTTTGCTATAAAAAAACCAAAGTGAAGAGAATCATAAGAATCAGTAAATTCTAGCACAAAATAAGAAAACTCAGTCCCAAAAACAATTGCGTTAACATTCTTGTAATTTTTTTGCTGTGCTTAAATCCTTATAATGAAACAAGGTCATATGCAGTAAATGTATGTTTGTAATGATTTTCACCCTCAAACTTTCAGTATTTCATTTCAGTAATGCACAAACTCTGCTCAATCAGCAGTTTGCAGATTGTTGTCTGACATCTTAGTTGACCTCTCATGAAACAGAAGTTTACTTCAACAGGTTCAAAAGGTCATGTCCGTGGGGTGTGACTAGTACATTTCCATCCATTTTTTTGTTTCTTATTTTTTTAAGGTTGGTCAGTTATTGTTGTATTTATATGATTGATGGCAGCCAAAAATGCAATCACTAATTAATTACCGTAGATTTTGAATTTCAGAGTTCACCTGTTAAGAGGCACAGCAATTTCATCTAAATAAGAACATACCACACACCAAGTCTGAACAAGCAAAAATCTGACAGCCTATATGCATGTAAAAAGTATTATATTGTCCAAACCAAAAACTCAATATGTTTCATTTATTTTTGTTTCTACAGGCTATTGAAACTGCTGAATTGGTCATCGGTCAAAATATCCCTGTACAATGACTTCAGCTCAATATTCATGCAAGTCACACTCTCTGTTAGTACCTCTCTTGTTTCCTTGATCTTATATCCACCACGTCCAATCACACTCCCAACCTGACTTCGTTGGACAAGCATCTGGATTTCCTTGCCATTTGGATTTTGGGTTTGACGCTAAAATCGTAAAATAAAGCAAACTGTATCAACCACACTGAGGGCATTTAATTTAACTAAAAATTGTGCTTGGTATCCATTACTTGCAGAATCACACGAAGGCTGATAGTTTAAGAAAAATCAATGCAGGGAAAAGATAACAGTGGTGCATAATCTGTGACCAAAACAAAATGATTTTGCATGAAACCTTCTGTTCTCCTTAAGAAGAAAACCACGAAGGTAAGAGAAAGCATACATTGTATACATGTCTTTACCTCGCCAATCTTTGGTAAGCACTCTTCGAAAATCCTTATTGCATCTTCCAGGAAAGCAGTGATTGTCAAAACACTGAAAACAATTAAATACCTACATGAGAATATACACATGGTGACAAAGACTTAATAATACAATTTCATGCACACTGTGTTACCTAAGGCAAATTTTTGACAACAAGTCTAGATATGACTAATTTGCAGAAGATAAGGTATGTTAACAGACAATTTATAAAATTAGCGACATCTCTGGTGGAAGACTATGTAGACTTCTGGTTTGTCAGATCTTTGATTTTCTTAAAACATTTCAAGCCAAACTGTGAACAGTTCTGCAATAATCAGTTCATGCTAAGTATTTCTTACACAGGGTTTAAAATGGTTAATTTTATGCACAGCATTACAAAGACACAAAATCTACCAAAACATACATCTATGACACTCAACAACAATAAATACTAGTTGGTAACACAACTTGAAATTAACTTTGAAGTTATGTCAATTTATGACAAGAATCAATCCCTTAAATTATTACAGCATTACACTGTAATGACATGCAGTGTAACGTTAGGGACGGGCAGGACACACATTAACGTGAACCATGGGACATACCGCTCAGGGGAATTGGTATCCGGGACATTGACCACTGCTTTGTACTTGGGTGAGATCACGACAGGGACCAACACGGGGCAGGCAGGTGGATGGACGGACAGACAGTTGGGCAATTGGGATCGGGTAGCAAGGGATGGGAGCAAAGAGGGAATAACAAGAGAAAAAACAACAACTTAGCAGGGATAAACTATTATTCCAAGAGGCAGAACAGAGCATCTGACAACTACAAAGGTACTTGATTAGCCGGATAAACTACAAGGGAAAGGAAGGAGTTAACAGCACGCATTTCAAAAGTCTGGGAAATGACAGTGTTGTAACCTAAAATGTTGCAATTCAATAACAGATACATTCAAAGAAACACTGGAATGAAGTGGACTAACAGATGATATCATCTCTAAGATTTTGTATCCACAAGTAAAAGTCATCATTCTAGAATATTTCTGTCAATGTTCATTCCTTTGCATAAAATAATTAATTTGATATATGTTTATCAATATCATTATGGACAGATGTGACAAAATTGTTGCTTATCTTGATAGTTACACACAGTGATGACAATGAAATGGAAGAAATGGATAATGTAACTTATCCTTAACTCTAACTAATCCTAGTTTTATTCATTAATCGGTAAATCAATTTCACAAGGAAAATCGCTTTCAGCACAAACTATGTTGAAATACTCTGCATATCATGTAAGTTAAATAAAAAGGCTATTACTTCATACCTCACTCCGTAATCTTTTCACATTTTGACCTCCCTGAAAAAAAAAAAAAAAGAAAACAGTTTACAGTAAAAGTTACTTTTCTGGCAAACAAAAATGGGATGTTGTGATCAACAACTGGAACAACAACATGGAATGTAAACTTATTAACTAAGGCATGCAATCCTGTACAACACTCTACTGACAAGCTGATGCACAGGATGAAATTAAAATGTACAAACACAGATCATCTTAATTCAAATTTGTATTAATTTACTGTGTGACTACATCATTATCACAACATACAGTATACCACATGGTGATTTTTATTGACCAACAACAACAGCAAAATCACCATCAGAATATAAACTGCTTTTGACAATACTGTGTAATCTTCCTATGACTCAAATTAGCATTACCTTGCCAATAATGCCACCAGCATCCTATAACACCAAAACAAAAATAAATGGTAGCATTAATGAAACTATAAATGGTGAGATTCACTTAGTATGTAACTTGAAACAGACAGAAATACACAATACAATTAAAATTTGTTTGTAGTTTTAAACTGTTTTAATTTGCAAACTTATTTCCTCTGGTCTCATAATTACCATCAAAATCTGAACCAAACTAAAGCAAAAACCAAACTGGTTTGGCAGTTAGCATGTGATTTGACAGTCATGTCTGACAAAGATCAAACATAACAGAAATAGGGAAACACTCCACCAAAATATATGATGAGGTAGTATTACTACATTCATGGTTTATTGGTCACTATTCAATCTACTACCGGTAGTCCCGGTATTGTATTAGTCTTTGAATACTTTCAAGAGTTCTGACCTTGCTTTCGAGAAGAAATCGAAGTGTTGCTTGTTGGCCAGAACCATCTTCCTCATCCTTTGCCCTCTTGGCATGAACATTGCTATTGAAGTCTTCCTCTGCTGGTCTCTTTATACCCATCCCTGTATTGGACAAAAATAAAAACAACAATAATCAAAGAGAGCCAGATAACAAGTTATCACTTTTCATAACCCTGGAATGTTTCTTCGAAAATGCTGTCTGGAACATACATGTATGACCATATAATCATTGAATCAAAAGAACTCTGCACCAAGCCCAAGCCCAGAAAAAAAAGGTTGCACCTTTAGGGATATATTTGTGCTACCTCTAGGCTTACAGACATTGGAGCCATTTCAGTAATGAAATTCAATTTTTCAGAATTAGGACTGTCTTTCAAACATCTTGTTTCCAGTGCAATTCTGGTGACACCCCCCTGCCCCAAAAAGAATGTTTTTACATATCTGATAAATCAAACTGTGGTGAAAGTTTTAGAAAAAAAATACATTTTTCAAGCAGACATCCGGAACTGAACACACTTGATGCTTTCATTCAACTTTATCATACATGTAGAACTGTACAACATAAGTGACACATATTAAATATAGTAGATAAGTAGAATTACCTTGGTCACCTCCATGTTGTTCCATGACGAATTGAAAAAGTACACTTTAGGCAATAACTGTTTTCCTGTAAGACACACCATAAGACAAGGGTTTGCCAATAGACAAAACACAATAAAAGTAAAAAGTTATAGCAGGTTACAAAGAACATACAATACTATTGACCATCAAATGTAATTCCAAAAAGTAATAACCCAAGAAAGATTTACATGTAATTATCTTGTCATGGGTGTGAGACCATACAAGTATGTCCTGTCAGGGACTCAAGGTTTCTCTGTGTTCCATGCTCATCAGATGATGGATGTTACAATGTATATCTTGCTCAAGACAAGTTTATGTTTAAAAACTCAGCTGTATTTGAACTTGTTCGAGCATTTGGCTACGTGACAACTGAATACAGTAAGGTCTTTGCTATACATTTAAAACAATTGGATATTTGCCAACTGCACCAATCAAGATCAGTAGATGTCTCTATCATGACCACAGTCTCAGAAATGTCAAATGGATCTTAATCTGTGCTCGAAATAACTGCCCATCATTCTACCAAATTTTGGAAATTGTCCCACTAATTTTATGTGATAAATATAGATACCATAACAGAGCACCAAAATGACTTAACATTGTAAGCCAAATAACAGCTGCGAAGGAGACTCAGGACTCAAAAAAAAAGAGTCCCAGCTTGCCCTTGGAACAAGTAGCTTTACAATTTTGCTTGCCCTGGGCAAGTCTTAGTTCACTCTTTTAACAATTTAGTTGGCAGACCACTTGCCTGATCCCTTGCCCATCAGGCAAAAGAGAGTGAAAAGTTACTTGCCCAGCAGGAGAATCTACAGTGTACTCGTCCCACATGACAGGATGGCACTTTTTTCGAGCCCACAGACTACACAAAACTTTGCAGTATTTTCTTCCACATTATGGAATCTTGCAATTTTGGTCTCGAGGCTGGTAATGAAGTGGGAATTGTATGACGTTTGTGCATTGTTGCACAGTAATCTCAAGAACAAAATATCTTCTAATAATTCAATTTCTTCCACTTTACTGGTAAGTTTAAAGGCAATGAAAGCAGCTAAAAATGGTAACTTAACATTATTTCTTGGCATATCGATTGTTTGTAAGAGAACATGGGCGGAAAATTTTAGATTTGAAAGAGACGTACGACTAAATAATTAGCTTACAAGCTCACATGCTTGTAATGGTACTGTAGCTAGTTTCAAAGACAAAAGCAAGTGTTGTCTTGCTCTTCAGGTGTTTTCATTTCGAATTGATCGCCATTTAAAGTTTACGGGAGGCACAAGAAATGCGTTGAAGAAAGAGGAAATGTAGTTTTCCAAAGCGATTATGACCGATTTTTAATTCGGCGTACACACCAGTTGTGTGCATGCATGCGTGAGAATTTTCAGATGCAATTTACAACATTTTAGCTCGGAAGCCAGTCACTTTTATACCTCTAAAGCCGGCACAAGTATTCAGTTGACCTTTTCAAGCTATTCTTTTTCAGCAAGGTCCGTTCAAAAGGGGAAATAAGCAAAGTTTTACTCACCAAATTCACTCCTTCCGTTCCTCTCAAAAACACCTGGTGCACGCGTTCTGGATGCTTGCTAAGCACTGTGGGAATAGATCCCAGAATGCTTGTCCAGCGAGGTCTGATTTTGTCACGTGACTTTTGTTAGCGTCTTCTCGGTCTTCTCATCTTTCAACATCATAAGCATAAGCATAAGGGCGCAAGGGTTTAGATATTCTTATGCTAACGTTTATGTCGCGGCTGTCCCACTAGGGTATAAGCTTCTTTTAGGCTTATGCATAATTTTAGGCTTATGCGTGCCCTACTAGTGAAGACCAGTGAAGACCGGGCTTTATAGAATAGAATAAAATAGGTATATCAGAAAGTCTTGCACTTTTTAACGAAAACATATTCAAGTTCAATACTAGACATATTTTCATTCTTCCTAGATTTTTCGGATCAGCGCTATAAATAGCAGGAGGGGATTACCCCCACCCCCCTCAGCTGTTGCGTCATTTGGCTTAGCAACCAGGCACACGTCGCCTGTCACATAAATTATCATGCAAGAAAGCAGGGAGTAAGATTTTTCTTCGGCTTTCGAATTTTATACGTGTCAAACTTTGCCATGTCGCACGGTGGTATTTACAGTCTTTTTTACAACCATGGAAGGCAATGTTCTTGCCGTCCGGTTGAAGTGTTGTTGGTTTGTATTACTGGAACTGTTTGTTTGTTAAGTTTGAATATCTACGATGCAACACACTCCACAAGTGCACAGAACGAAAGTTCCGGCGAAAAGGTCAGTGATGTTCATGGGGAAAGTTCTTGACTTCGATTTACCCCTACTGAAGTCCTTAGTAAGCTGTTTTATCATGTTATAAAATACCAGTACCCAAGATCCTGGACGGATCTGCGAAACGCGTTTTTAATCGGAATTTAGTTCACTAGCCAGGATAAAGGAATTCTGGTTGTCGATGACATTTTAAAGGCTTGAGTTAATTTATAGTTTTTTCATGAAAGTTTATCATCTTAAACAAGCTAGTTCTGTTTCTCTGAAGCAGGAAATTTTCCTAAATAGACGTAATTCCTTCGGAAATATTTAGAATAGCGCGAATGTATTCTAATGACTAATCCCGTTTGCGGTGAAGTTTACAGACTTGTCGACGGAAATACTTCGTGCAAGGTGTAATTGTAAACACTAAACGCACCCCCACAAAGTTGTGTATTATGTCTTAACCAGAGAAAGTGATTATTTCAGTTAATTAGGGTAAACAGCCTTTCTTCCGCCCAAATATTTTTGTCGGAACTACATTTGCAAACGTAGTCATTAACCATACAAGGCAAAGACTTCTAAAACCACACTCAAAAGCATATTGGCATTCTACACTAAGCTGACACGGAAAGTTAAATTTATATATACAACCACAAGGTGGAGATGTTTATGCTCAGTTTATTATCAACTTGGTAAATTAAATGCCATTTTGGATTAGAGCAGTTGACAGGCATATAAGGATTAATGAGTTCTTATCACAGCTAGCATTCAGCTGAACTCTCTGTGAAAGTTATGTAATCAGACTCACTAATAATTACCACAGGAAAAACAAAGGAAATTGACATTTAACATCAGTGGGTCCAGATTAGTGTTAACTCTTGCCAGAAAACATGGCTCAGTATATAAATTTAAACATTGATTCTGTTAACCCAATACAGCCTGACTGGTATCGCCTGACTACTTGACCAACTACTTGACCATCTGAGTATATGTATACACAAATTATGATATTGTATGTTTGTGTATTATAACTTGTACAACAGTCAGTTTTAGTTTAAGTCTGTGTTGGGTCAAGTGTTTCATACTGCTGGTCAGCTTATCTTTCACCTCCTTAATACTTAGTGTGCAATTGTAAATGTGTATTTATATATAATCATGACATTTGTGTGGTTTGAGAAGTCACAACATTCAAAAAAGAAGCAAGAATGGATAATAGGTTAAAATGAAATATCAAGAAAGATAGATTTTACTGTAATAATTCCATTTGTCCTCCTTACCAGATATCTTTACCAGCTGGCTTACATGTTGGTCCTACAAGCTACTTCTTTGCACTTGTTTGTATTTATCTTCAATGTAAAAAGCTTATCCATCAAGGATCTTCATATATATTAGGTGAGATAATTATTTTCTGATCAAATTATTAAATTATTAGCTAGTGAAGGAAATGATTTCCTTCACTGGCTAACAAAGTCAATATGTTGCACATGCTAAACGTCTAACAAGCTGCTCTTTGTCCTGTAAACAGGTACAATGCTCATTAATTGTCAAAATGTGTCCATGTTTTTCTCTCTGTTGATGGACTGACTAGTACATTCTAGTCTAAAGTTATTTTATAAATTTATCGATGTTCCTGGGATTTCATTATTAACAACAATCAAAATGTTTTATTCTGATCTAAAATATGCATCTTTCTTTACTCTACTTTCAGGATTTGTGTCTGTGTTTGCTATCTTTTCCTGTGTAGTTTTCAGCTCTATTGTTGCCAATTTATATGGCAGAGATTTTTGGATTGTAAGGTGAGGAATATGACTGGAACTGAGTATTGGAATATGGTTACCAAATTTTTGAGGCTCTAGATTTAAGTCATAGTTGACTCTTACGTGCAAAACCAGGGAATGTGTATATTATTAATTTAAATCCCTAACATATGTGCCAAACCTAACAACGTCTTGTCTTTTGAGGATCAGTTTTACACTCACTGGTCCTTTAGGGAAAACATGGAATTCTTTTGAATACATAATCAGTCCAAATAAATAAAATAATGTTCATATGTTTATTAGGCATGTGTTGTATAATTAGGTCTATTATAAAACAAGATGAACTATCAGACACAATAAGCCCTCAGTTTATTGTTTAACATGCAAAAAAGCAGACAGCTTGCCCTGAGAAATTCTCTGTCTGCTGCCTGTCTTAATACTGAGACCCATAACCATACACATGAATAGGGGTATAGACCCTTTTCATAAATGGCTGCCAATTATAAATTCTTTTGTAAGTATTAAAATTAACCCGACTGACCTAGTTTTTGAGTTGATAATTCAAAGGAATTTTTACTCCCAAACGAGTTTAGTAAGGCTAATTTAAATGTATACAAAAGAATTTTAAATTGGCAGTCATTTATGAAAAGGGTCTATAATTTGTTAGATATAAATTTTTGTACTCACAGATGTACATTGTATTATCCATCACAGCCAAGTTTATGACATTTTTGTAAATATGTACAATTTGTTTTAACAAGATCCTTTCTTGTGCCCATCTTTATAAATACGAGACTTCTAACCAGGTAGACCAAAACACCCCTGTGCCATTTGGCTGAGACAGATTATCTACAGATTTATATCTTATTAGGTTTGTCTTGTTATTCTTCTTTGTGTTTCAGGGAAGCTTTACCATATTTTTTTCTTCTGAGTGACTTCAATACAGCGAGCTCATTAGTGAGACACACTCTTCAGTCTCCAACATGTGTGAGTATACATCACTGCTTGTTGGTGTTGGATAAAACTTGTACTTTTTTGCCAGTTGTTTTGCACAAATATTGTATCTGTTTCATTAAATATTAAATGAACTACAACCACCTTTTTATACCTGCCTGTAAAAGTTTGATTTGGTTGGTGTATACATGTAAATAACGTGGAACAAGGTTTATTAAATTGTATTGTTCATAAGCAGTAGACTCAGAACTCTTTGTCAATCAGGCCAAAAACGCTTCCAAAAATGGTAACACGGTAATCTCTAAATGACACAAACCTTCTGTTCGAAAAACCATAAACTCTCTACACAATAATTGTATGAGCAACTTAGCTCATAGACGTGATAAATATACGTTTAACTGAAATTCAAAATGTCTCTGAGCATGTGCCTGCTATTTGCAGGTCACGCCACTTCAGTAACTGTCTTTTTAACTTTGATAACTTTCTTCTTAAACATGCATTGACTTGCAATTTCATTATATAATTACTATTAAAGTATATGCTAGTAAGACGTGCTAAGATCATGTTATGATGTGTTGTTAGGATGCAGTGCCTAGCAGGATAGCTGAGAGTATTGCTTCCTTGGGTCCAGCTGTCACTCTTAATACTCTTGTGGGAACTTTGGTTATTGGGATTGGAACCCTTTCAGGTTTGTACTTTCCAATATGAATTTTGATATTTAGTTTGTTCAAACTTCTTTCATCTTTCCTTTTTTGGTTGTGGTTACTGATTGTTTTTTTTTTTTTCTGCAGGAGTCATGGAGTTGGAGACCATTTGTCAGTTTGGCTGTTTGTCTCTGGTTACCCATTATGTGATCTTCATGACCTTCTTTCCAGCCTGTCTATCATTGTTTTTAGAGGTATTTGTAGTTTTCTGTTTAAATTTAGAACTCCATATGCAAGTGAATGTCATTCTGTGACCTGCATGACACATTTTCTTCATGTTTCTAGCTTTTCTATCTTGTTTTTCGAAAGAACAGTACGTTTTTTTAAGAACACCTGGGAGCAGTAATTTCTAACTGCAATCTTTTGCATTTTACAGCTGTGCACAGGACAGGGTCACAGTAGACCAAGGTGGCAATTAGAGAGTACAGATGTCCCAGTGGATGAACTTGAACCCAACCCTGTGGTGCAGGGTGTCAAGCTTATCATGGTATCAATCATATTTCTTGTCCATTCTCTTTAGACCAGCGGTCAAAATAGGAATTCTCTTTTGTTGTTGTTTTCTTAATGTTAGTTTTATAAAAGTAGTTATGTAGTGCTGTAATGAAGTATTCTTTTCTTAGTTTGAATTTTAATTATTTTTTCCAATGACCTTTCTAAAAGTCACTCCAGCCAGAAAGTCTATGCATTTTGTAAGGATGAAATTAAAGGGACTACGTCATTACTAAGGGTCTTAAAATAACTGAGGAGTGTGTGCTGCCTTTGTAAATTATTATATCTGAAAATGGTTAGATGTTCAAGTCTTCTCAAATAAAGACTATAAATCGTAGGCCCCATCTCCTGCATCTTCAGTGCTACATCGTTAGCAGGGGATGTTAAAGAACCCATACACTTTGCGAAAAGAGTAGGGCACGTAGTTCCCGGTTTTGTGGTCTGGCCTTGTCTCACAGATTGGTGCTTCACATAGGGTTAACCTCATTGCACCTATCCCCCTTGGACTGAATTGTCCAAGAAAAATTGCTGTGACAATGTAATGGTATATTTATGGACTGAGTAATTCTTTTACATTTACAAAGTTACCTTCAAATTGGGGCACCCTTTGAATAAAAGTTTAGTAGGGTAAGAAAGAAACAAATGTTTAAAGACAAGCTTGAAACATTTAGGCTACTGTTTTCAAGATGCATCATAGCTCCTTTAGTAATTTTGGTTGATGTTGGGATTTATACAGGCTGATACTGTAGTTTATGAACAAGTCAACAAATTTAGCCCAGTGGTGAGGTAATAAAGAGTAATTTCTTGGCTTTTGATATTAGTCCACAGGTCTGATGTTGATTCATGTGCACCGATGGTTAATGGTTAAAGGTGACAGCCATGAAAGTGTTCATGATGCTTCATTTGAGGAAAGTGGGTTTAAAAGGTAAAGGATTGTACATCGGCAACAACTACTTTATAAAGTTCCATTTTTTTTTATCATACAGANTGAACAGGTGAGGTATTCTAATTGACAGCTTCCGTGCAAAAAGGGTGTATATCGATTTTTTTGGCCGATTTTATTTTTTGCAAGATCAAGCTAATAATTGGCAGACTGACTTGTTTGAATCATTGTGTAATTGTTTTTGTTGATTTGCACTTTGTTTTTGAGAAATAATGTATGCAAAAAGCTCTAGTTTTCAAGTTTTTTCATTTCTCTTTCTTTGTTATTTGTCATGATTATTTTGATCAGTTGTGTGATTGTCTTGTGACATTTTCTTTCAGATTGTAGTGGTAGTCTTTGCTCTTGGCCTAGCTGTTAGATACTTGTTAATGGACAATGAGGACAGAATTTATGATCATGTTGAGCACAAGCAAAAACTGACATCCTTAGATCACAAAGCACCCTTTACTGTGGGAGTCACTGACCAAGTTGAAGGATCTGAACAAGCCTGCTCAAGCCAAGAGAAAAACAAACAAGGACCAAGTTCGGCTCTATTCCTTAAAAATGGGAGTGCAAAAAGCATGGCTTCAAAAAAGATTACTAGACCAAGGTCTGATTTCGGTCGTCTGCCAAGAATAGAGTCAGTTGATGAAGCATTTGAAAAAGACTCCAGTGGTGTTGATGTGAGAATGAAGGTGTCAGATAGAAGAAGAACAGTAAGCGAAGGCGACCGTGCTAATGATTGCCAAATGAGTGATGATAATCAACATCCTGAAGGGCTCATAAGAGCAGACAGCAGTCCACCAGCAGTCCACCAAGAACGGAGCTTAGAAGAGTGCAAGCTGATGTTGAAGCAATCAGTATGTTGTACCTTACTTTTCCTTTATAATGTGGAATATTATTTTAGGGAATGAATAAATGTCTTATTATAAGATGTATGTAACCTTAGATTTTAAAAAACCTTAAGGTTAGTAATAAAACAGTTTTAAAATTTATTGCCCCTGATTCATTACTTTCCAGGATGGAGTGTTTAGCTTGAGTGATAAGGAAATACAGATGTTGGTTGAATCTAAAGCCATTCCTGGGCATCAGCTGGAAAAGGTTTTAAAAGATCCAGCAAGGGCAGTAAAGATCAGGTAAAGATTCTTATGTTTGATGTCACAGCCATTTTTAACATGTAGATTGGACATAAACAGATAGCATCAGCAACTTCATTGCTCTAGATGAGACAATACTTGTTAATAAGAAAAAGAAGACTCTATTTGCTTATCTTTTAAAGTATTGTATCATTTTTGGTTTTATTAACTAAAGTTGAAATGTTAATTTTATTTATGAACCTTTTTGATTTTGTTTACCACGTTATGCCGGGTTTTTTTTTATAATGAATTGTTGGTCCAAAACCCAAGTACATGTACATGAAGCTGAAATTGCCTTGGTAGTTTTTGGTTTCTAATATTATATGCTGAGATGTTTGGGAAAACCATGTAGAAATTATGGCAAAAAACCCTCAAAAAAGAATGATATAAGTAGCAAGAAGAAAGTGGGGGATGGAGATGCCACCTTGTAGCTTTCAATGTTAATATATATATTTATGGGATTTCTCAGGAGGAACGTGGTATCAAAGAAACTTCCAGCTGCTGCAGATTTAGTTGATCTTCCTTGTGATCACTACAATTACTCTGATGTAAGTACTGTCACCAGCTTACAAAATGTCCTGTAGATTGTTTACAGCAGTAATAGAAACAATTATGTATTTTGACCAACTTTTATCCATGCTGATTTGTATTTCAGGTTGTGGGAGCTTGTTGTGAAAATGTCATTGGTTACATGCCTGTTCCTGTGGGTGTTGCTGGACCTCTTTTGCTTAATGGTGAAAACTATCATGTTCCCATGGCAACCACAGAAGGATGTCTTGTAGCAAGTACGAATCGAGGATGCCGAGCTCTCCTGGTACATTTGTCTTCATTAATCCATAAAATATACATGTTTATAATGTAGAAAAGTTCTTCATATTTCGACGTTTTGTCTGTAGAAGAAATATTTTAAAGTCAAATATCACTTTTTAACTGGACAGCAAAAGGGTTGATTTGGGGCTCTAAGGAATTAGGATGCATGTTTCTAAGTAGATAAGAATTCAGCTTACATAAGGTTTTAGAATTTACAGTGTACACTTGCATCTTGTACTCTAGGGAGTAGTAGTATTCCTAAGGATTAAACTTTTTCTTAGTGATTCATGTGTTCTTGCAGCTGAGTGGTGGTGTAAGAAGCTCTGTGTTTGGTGATGGCATGACACGAGGACCTGTTGTAAGATTTCCTTCAGCATTACTTGCCAGGTAAATCTTCAGTGCATGTTTAGCACCCTGTTCAAGGTAGAATTTTTTAAAATTTCATGGGAAGGTTACAATCTGAAGTTGAATTTTACTTTCACAGTGATGTGAAAATGTGGTTAGAAGAGGAGAAGAATTTTATGGAAATCAAACAGGTGTTTGACAGCACAAGCAGGTTAGTCCAGCAGTTGAAACTGAGAATATTTTTATACTATTTCCAACTACAGTGAAACCTGTATTAAGCAGACAGCCTTGAGACCCTCACTAGTGTCCGCTTAACATGGTGTCTGCTCAAAAGAGGTTCTAGTATGTTGTTCAATAATTGTTAATTATTAACCCTTTTGTAACACAGGGTAACACAGTGTATGATCAAAGACTAGCTGATACTGCTCATAGTACAATTTCCAGTCAATCAAGGCACCAATCTGGAATAATCACTTACCTTTGAAACAATATCACTGAGTAATGTTAAGGAGTCTCAGCTGAACCTTTAGAAGTAAAATGAGCCCTTGAAGTGTCCGCTTATTGCAGGTTTTGTGCAACAAAATGGCTTAATATTGGTGTCTGCATCCGTTTAATAGAGGTGTCTGCTGAATGCAGGTTTATGTTACAGTAAATGTGGGAAGAAAATTTTGGAACTTAAGCTGGTTTCCACTTAATAGAGGGTGTCCAATTAATGTGGGGTTTACTTAATACAGGTTTCATTGTAGCCACAATTCTCCAGACAAAAGTCTAATATATGTAGTATTTCTTCTGACCACAATATGCTAAATTTGTTGTAGGTTTGCAAGATTACAGTCTGTGAAAGGAGTGGTTGCTGGTCGCTTGTTGTTCATCAGATTTGTAGCAACCACTGGTGATGCTATGGGCATGAACATGGTGTCAAAGGTAAATTGTTTCAACTTGACTGGCACTGCAGATAATGGATATCTAAGTATAAATACGTGATCAACGTCAAAATTTTTCTAAAATAATNCCCCCCACCCCGCCCCAACCTGGGAAAAAGATCAGTTTCTTTGACCAATAAGACTATTTTGAACTTGGGAGAATGAGTAAAGGTTGATTTATTTTTTCTGACAGGGAACAGAGAAAGCCCTGTCTTGCTTGCATGGGCACTTCCCTACTATGGAAGTGTTAAGCTTGAGTGGAAATGTTTGTACAGATAAAAAGGCAGCAGCTATAAACTGGATTGAAGGCAGAGGGAAGTCTGTTGTGTGTGAGGCTATTGTACCAGGACATGTTGTTCATAAGGTGAATATGAATCATATCAAGCACATGCCATAAATGTCATGCATGCTGTCCAGTAGACATCAAAGGTTGCACAAATGGTCTGCCTCAAACCTGTACCTCTTGTTGTCATCATTATTATAAATTTCAGTCTCATTTCTACTCTGTGAGCTGTAGAAAATTCTGGAGACTTTGCACCCATTAAGCATGTTTGCTTAGGTAAGGAGGGGGGAGGGGTAACACAGCCACAAATATTTTCTGGTGTTAATCACACTTCCAGCTACAAAATGTAGAAGACAGTGGATATTACAGAAACAGAATGTATGAAAAAATCACAGTTCAAGTAGTCAAGTATAAAAGAATAACCAATAATAAAAATGATCAAAAAGAACTGAGGAAAACCTCAAGTCTGCCCACTGACATTTTTTGCTGTGAGTTATTTTTCTTTGAGCATACTAGCGATGTGAGCACAGAGTGCAAGAGCAGCTGCAAGGCAGGTGCAAAAACTTAAGTCGGTCCCCAGGGCCACCCCCTTACATTCAGACTTTTTTTCAAATCTCCTGCAGTTAATACTTCTGCTAATTGCAATCTCAACAAACTCAAGACCGAACAGATGGTCTGTGGACAGACTAGGAAGGCTGTTAACATTTTCCTCCCCCTTGATTATTGCGGGAATCACACAAAACACCCCATCCAATAAATATTGTTTAAAATGTAACTTGATGTTCTATTTTATTGTTGTCAGGTTTTGAAGACAACAGTGTTTGCACTTACAGAACTCAATGCCAGCAAAAATCTTGTTGGTTCTGCCATGGCTGGAGCCATCGGAGGATTTAATGCTCATGCTGCTAACATAGTGACAGCAATATTCATAGCCACAGGCCAGGACCCTGCACAGTGTGTTTCTAGTTGCAACTGCATCACTTTATTAGAGCCTTGTGGACCCACTAAAGAAGACTTATACATCAGGTAAAGGTTTGGAAAAGAAGGAAACAAACCAGATGTAAACAAGTGACCTTTTAGCTAGGCTTGATTTCTACTGCTAAGTTCACATGGTCGTCATTCATTTCATCTGATCTAGCTGTCTATGTGGACATTCTTTTGGTGTGTCACACACTCCTCCTCCACAAGAGCAAGGAGTGAGGAGGAAGCCAAAAGACTGTGTAGGGGGCTACATTCCTTTCTGACACAAGGAAGATTTGTTTGTAGGCTAATTTCCCAGATATAAATTTTGCAACCCTGCAATTGTTACTTGGGACAGTTCAGGGTCAGGGACTCAGGGTTAGGTCAGAAATGGGGTATTGAATTTTGGGTTGGGTCTAAAAGCAGTTGCTAACTTATCCCCCTGTGCACATAAGTCCATTGGGTCTGAAATGGGGTAAGGGTTTCAAGATGCTCATCGCACACCCCACCCAATTTTTCTGGGATTGCCCCCCACCTCCCCTACCAGACTTACAGTTTATCAGTATTTCAATCTGTGCAGCATGTTCTTGGTGTGTTTGGACAACTGTGTGAATGTCTCAATTTGTTTTTCTGTCAGCTGTACAATGCCATCATTGGAGGTTGGAACAGTAGGAGGGGGTACTGTTCTTGGTCCCCAGTCAGCCTGTCTTAAGGTAATGTTATAGTGCTGCTTATTTACTGACAGTAACATATGGACTTGAAGCTGTCCTGATTTGGGGGCTACTCAACTTTAGGTTGGGGAATAATCAACTTCTGGTTGGAGACGTACAGGCTAGGGGCTATTCTAACTTAGGGGCTAAACAACCCACATCTGTGTGGTGTGGACAAGTGAAAAGAAACACACCGTAAATCCTCGAATTAGCGCCCGGAGTGCTTATTTCAAATTTAGGAGAAGACAGGGGTACTTATTTGAGGAAGGCACGTAATCGAGGCGGGGGTGGGGAGGGTGGGCAGCACTTATTTAATTTTTCCCAAATCATGGTCAGATATGATCGTTTTTTTAATATATTGCTTAAGCTTTAGGCAATGAATCAGCAGATCTTCACTACCATCCATTGGGACGGTCAATATGCTGTGAGTAAATGAGTCGATAATCACTTGCTTGTGACTGAACACGACCAAAACTACACATTCTTTGCTGTCTCAGTACTCTTCCATAAAACAGGAGGAGGGGAGGTGGCGCTTATTCAAGGGGAGGCACTTATTTTAAATTTTGGGCGGAAGCAGGGGCCGTTATTCTAAGGGGACACTTGAGGAGAGGCGCTAATTCAAGGATTTACCGTACCAGAACTGATGTACCTATTTTAATGCCCAATAACTGCCAGATGCAATACCAATTAAAGTTTCAATCCTCAATGTCACAGAGTTTTGTCATTCAATTTTTCAGATGCTTGGTGTTGGTGGAGCCAACAAATCGGAGCCAGGCAAGAATTCAACAAAACTTGCACAAATTGTGTGTAGCACAGTCCTTGCTGGAGAGTTGTCGTTACTTTCAGCTCTCGCTTCAGGTGATCTCGTGAAAAGTCACTTAACACTTAACAGGTATTTAAACATCCTTGTATATTTAAAGTGTGCTTTCATATAAGAGATATGAAGTCCTAAATATCTACTACAGCGCTAATTTTGGTTTGGATTTTGGGCACATATGTTCTCTTTGGAGAGAAATGCAGATTTTCTCCCGCCACACCAATGTTACCAATAGATTCCTGTTAATCAACTTACCGGTCTTTTGTTTCTCATTTCATTTCATTAGGTCGACCGTAAATCTCCTAGCAGAAGATGCCAGCAAAAATTGTGCAGTGTTGTAGGAAGCCTAGCCGCAACTCGCTTTTCATTACCACCAAGAGTTAGCAAATGTTGCTGAACTAACGACAAGGGCGAGGCAGTTACTGACACATCTCGATAGTGTCACTGAGTTAACATTACCACCATCCTCATTACACTGATGCCTCATTCTGCCCGAGTTAGAAGCAAGTCAACAAGTTTCACGATAGAAGCTACTGTTGAGAACTTCCATTTAATGGTGACACACTGAGGCTCCATTCGCCTGATTCTCAGATGGTATGATCATGAGATTGCTCGATCTCAGGAGGGAGTGAGAGCGAGCGACATCGGACCGTCTGAGATTCAGATCAGGCTAAGGCTTCATGTTCAGGCTTAAAAAGTCAGAAGACAGCTAAGATGACCAGTGACTGAAGTTCGTCAATCAGAATGCTTTTGTTGCCGGTGAAACATTTTCTAAGTATTAGGCCGGGTAAAGGTTCTGTGGTCATCACATCAATGAAGTCGTATAATTAGTCTTTTGTCAACCAAGCTTGCTCGGCTCTACCCTCGTCACGCAATCTTCCCTCACGAACGTCTGTTGAGAAGGAAAGATTGCGTGATGAGTCCAAAGGAAGTCTGCTTGTAGCTTATTACTTGACTTGTGTTCTGCTCTGGGAGTGACAGGGTTAATGGGATCGCTAGGCCAGATATTTGTTGAAATATTCCAAAAGCCATCTATGAATATTTCAATTAACTTTATTCAAAACTACACTTAAATGAATTTTAATATATGTGTATACAGCAAAAAGAACAATATCGTTATGAAAGAACATGTTACTTATTTTAAAACTACATTCATGTCATGACAAGAGATGAAATCATCTGCAAGAATTTTATATATTATTAACTATTGTTCATTTGCCACAAAGTATCTAGTGAGTGTCTTGTCAATAGGTAAATACAAATTTTATTTCTACATGTTGGAAAAATTACAACTTCAATTAAAATTGTGGTAAAAAAAAATCGTTATGCTCGTTTCTTAAACAGCGTTTCTCAACAGCGGAATTTATTCACTTTACGCCTTGCGAGAGCAAAAAAATAGGAAGAAAGTTGAGCGAGAAATACACAATGGAAGTATTGCGTCAATGTCAAGGAGTAATTTGATGTACGGTTCATGATAAAGGCACTCATATTTAGTCGACAAGGATTCAATGTTCTAAGCACGCAGTGTTCTTGAGGGCACATATTATCTTTTACGAGTGCTATGCTCTCATTTTCGGTGAAAATTTTCCACTCTACAATAGAAATTGGTCCATATTCACTGTATAGAAAGGTGATTGTTGCATTCAAACTAAATAAAAAAATCGTTAGGTCCCGGTACTCGTTTCCGAGGAAAAAAAAAAGATGCTTTGTCTTTCGCAAGCCAAGCCGTTTAGAAAAGCCACCATTTTGTATATGACGTTGTGTATATGCACAGCGCGCTTATGACGCGAAATCGTGCGCAGTAGGGATGCGCAATGCAATTCTGAGAAACCACCTTAATCCCCACCCTTCAATTAATAGTAAGAATGATTTTTACAATGACTGTCCAATTTCTCGCGCGCTGATTGGCTCATTTTTATCATCAATAAGAGTACAGACAGATAAAATTTTGATTTATGCAAGCTTTCCAGTTCAACTTTCCGCTGTCGAACTGTCAACTTTTAACCAATGAGATTTGATTGACTTTTTTAAAATAGCCAATCAAAAAGCGAGAAGAGCTATTGACACGTTCGCGTCATTTTGAATAAAATTCACTTGTCTTTGTTTACGGCAAGTTTATGGCGTCTTTTCCCTCAGTTATTCCCGGCATTTGACCATTTTGCGGCTCGTGGTTCCAAAGCCACTTTGACAATGTTATGACGCAATTTATCATCACTAAGAGGACAGACCCATAGAAAACTGACATCAATTTGTTAAATAGAAACGCATACGTCATATGACGAAGTATGACGCGGTCTTTACATTTGAATTTCTTTGGAGCTAAGTATACTTGGAAACTTTTATTTCGTGTTTCTACAAAATATTAAATTAATTACATTACCTTTAGTAACGCTTTTGCGAGTGTTTTTATTACTCGTGAGCAATACATCTCGTATTTTTTATCGTTTGGGGAAGTCAGGAACACCGAAAAAGCTTGGAAATGACTCTCCTTCCGCTCTAGATTCTTATCCTCGTCCAGCATCTCGCATGGCTAAATTTGAACCATATAAAACAAAGAAATCCATGATCCATTGCTTTTCTATATCTTCCCCTAGTTTGTCAATACAAAAGTCAATAGCTATTAACTAATTGAATCAGAGCGTGCACATCATCTCCAGTTAAGTGCGTTCTATAATCTGGGCTTATTTCTAATCTCCAGTAATAACAACTCCCAAAAATAACCTTTCCAATTCCCACCCTAAATAACACCATGGAGAGCACTTGAGACAAATGGAAATCCAACAATTGATATGTCTGCTGCAAAGTCTGGCAACCAGCCACTCTAAACGTCGTTAGAGTATCTAGATTCTTTCACTCTTTTCGCGTTTGTAAGAAATGTCTTGTCCTGTCCATACGTGCATTCCTGATTTCATCAACTGTCACGCTCAACCAGAGGCTTCTGAAGAACTAAACAGAGGGAAAAAGCTATTATTATTCACAGTCATTTGTACTGACAAAGGCTTAAAATGCACCGAAAGTGTTAAATAATTAAGTCAACACAGACGCTTCCGGCTCAGCAAATTCTTCGACGTATTCAAATATTTTGTTGATAGTCTGGAAACGCAGACGGATTCCCAGCGGTTGTCTGACGTCGCCGCTTGAAAAAACAGAGCCGGGAAAGACGCCTACACCCATCTGTTGGTAGCTAGCGGTCTTGCGTGCGTGTGCTCCCCCAAAGTCAGTCTACACGCCAGTGTATTTTTTGGCAGCAACAATCTTTTCAGAATATTGCAGCCATCAGCTTTGACTTGCCAAATGTTTCATTTTGCTTTTGCAAGCTGCCAGTAACACATATCAAACGTAAAGAACATGTTTGATAAAGAGATTTTTGAAAAAAAGAACGTGTACTGCGAGGAGTTTAATATTGATGAAATAAGCATCTAAGATCGCTTCGTGGATCAGGCCTTCCACAGAGATTCAGTCGGAAGAAAGGCTCGCCTTTCCTTTCAGCCCAGCTTCCAAGCAAATCTCTGCAGGCTTTGGATCACCGGCGTTCTTTATAAAGGCCTGGCATCTGGTCACTCCACTCTAGTGTAGAGCCATTGCCACTGATGACATTGGTCATTTAACTTTGTATTATCCGCCTTCCGAGGAGTTCCGTCGTTCCCTTCTCATTCTTACTTACCTAACAGTTGTTGATAATGACGATGAAGATGACGAGAAGTGTTTATTGAAGTCAATTCTTAGCAGCAGCTGAGCCAGGTGAGGACTTGCTTGATGACTCCGTACACTCGACAAGATTTGAAACAACAGGATTGTCTGTCTTTCGTAAGTCTGTAGAAAAGGAACAACGCTTCTAATTAGGAAAGAACTATTATACAGTAAGAATATTTTAATTAACAGGGGACATTTTATTACGGAAACACGTTCATGTAAGTATCATCAAATGAACCTTTGTCTTCGAGCACGTTACCTTAGTAATATTCTCAATCTGTGTCAGTTCTCTGTGTGTTAGGCCAGCGCTGCCTGTCTGAAGAAGAAGCGAGCTGAATGACTGGCACAAGTTCAGGATTTCATCAAGGCAGTGTGAAACCTAACAATCGTAAGTAAAAGATGGATATTATTAATACATTAATGGAGAGAGGTATGACTTCAAATTACGCATTAACAAATATTTGTTATTTGCTGTACAGCCTAATTGCCTAAGTTGCTTGGGGCATAATATGTATCATGTCTTTAAACACAATCCTCGTTATTACATCTCTCAGTTAGTACGCGCGCTGTGATTGGTCAATTTAGCGGGCCGTATTCTACTGTACGGCCCGCTAAAATTTAAAGCTGTTTTTGTTGCCAAAATGTTTCGTGATTTATCGCCAAAGTGTTCTTAACTTTTAATGCAAGTAAAAGTTTAAACAAAACAATTTTTTACTTCTTAAATTGTGCGAACGGCTTAAGAGTAACTTAACAACGATTTCTAATTGACTCGTTTTGCTTTTAACGTGCGTCAGAAATTTGAAACCGTTCCGCGTAAATAGAAATCGTTCCCGATCCGTCAGACACACAGTAGAGATATAACAAATATCTTACTAACCTCGTCTTTTCGTTCCGTACTGTAAGTTACCGATCCTCGTTCATAAATCGATGGGAAAAAAACTCGGTCCATAACTAACAGTAAGGCCCTCGAAGTCGGTAAGAGGAAACAAGTTATGAGGCTAGAAACATTTTACATGAACTGAAAGCTGCGATCACAGTAGAGTATTTTAAATACAATTTTTCTTTGTTCTTGCTCCCTTCTTAATATGTTCAGTTCCTTAGTTAGTCGCGAACTCTAGAAGCCTTTTATATCGTTCTTTCCCGGTAGAGATCAGAGAGGTGTTTTCCGAGAATTGTTTGTAAACAGTTATTGTTTACACCTTGTAAAGAACAGACTAGTAAACAGGTTTTACCGGTTTCATGAGCAAGAATGACTGCGCCATCATGGTAGTAATAAAGTGATCATGTGCCAAACGGATTGATTCAAAGTCTCTTGTACTGTTGATCTTCTCCACCAACTGACTGTACTGTGCTTCTAGTACATCCACCTGTTGTAATCAAATCAAGACTAGAAATCATTTTGCTACAAAGAGGTTTGAGTTATCAACGAACTCACAACCAAAAGAGTACGTTTGGTAAAGCATGCAATGAATTTTTCAAGATTTCCTGGAATAAATACCCACTTTCAGTAAGTTCTTCTCGCTCACACAAAGCTAGAATAAGAAATATGTATGAACGTTCCTGGTCCTTTGCAGGTACTAACACTGATCCAGATTTGCAGCATTTTGTTTCTGCAATTACAATCCACTCCTTTTTTGTGTAGGTAACTAAGTCCCAGATGCTGTGTCAAGAAACTACAACTTAAGTCGCCAAAAGTTCAAAAATAGACTGGCTTAAATTTTTGCGAGAAAAATTTGCATGAGGATGAATCCACGGTCAATTTTCACCATTCTTTTGGTGGAAAAATTGTTAAACGACCCCTGAAAATATTCAAAATAACGCACACAAAACTCTCACGAATGAAAGGCAGCATAGCATAGCTAAAACGCAGTCACAGATGTCTCTTAAATTACTTACCTGGAGGTAATACTGCAAATTATCTACCAGGAAAGCCATATGCATCCTTGCAAGCCAGATCTTTGTCATATTTGATAGTTGAGCAGTAGATAAGTGTTTAGTACCCATGTAAGCAGCCCAGACTCGCTGAAGATCCAGCTGAGTCCGTTTAACTTTCAACAAAAATCTAAAGAGGTTGTTATATCTACAGACAAAATAAAATGAGCATAAAATCGATGTCAATGTTATTTTTCAATATTTGTAATATACCAATTGATAATGAACTTTAAACTGCCCTCCTAGTATAAACTAGCCTCTGCTAAGCGTTCAGTTAGTTGTGGCGCAGCGCGAAAAAATCGGGGAGAAGCGTGGCGAGAGAAAGCTTCTCCCCTATTTTTTCGCCCGTCGCTTTTTGCACTGCGCCCCAACTAACTGAACGCCTGGCAGAGGCTAAGAATAAACTTGAAAATTCAGCTTTCTTCAAACAAGAGTTTTATAAACACCCACTAAGAGTTTAATCACTACCGGTAAAGCAGCTGGTTGTAAGTTTATTATAAAAGACAATCATGATACCCAGGGATAGAGTCGATAGAGGCTATGTCATTTCTACTCAGTAGTTCATGTGTCGCGACGAGACTTACTTTTCTAGCACAGCAGGGTGGAATAGAATGTGTAATGGCCACTGGACATCATACTGAAGTTTAACACAGTCCCATCCACATACCACTACAACTGACTGCTCTGTAAAACGAAAACAATACTGCAATGGTTTGATTTAGCACCGTCCTTCCAGTAAGCAAACCCTTAACAAACTGCCCCTCAGTTAAGTCAGTAATAAGTTTGCAGTAAGCTCCGCTATTTTAATAAACGCTTTAGTTTCAATTGATACACTTAACATGTCACCAATTAATTGAATTATTACAGTAATTCTAGAACCATGTAATTCAGTGGTATGAATGTTAATGTAAACTTTACTTGTAAAGTAATGTTAACCACAAGAGCTTTGTATTACTGTCCATCAATATGTCTCAGCCACAGAGATGCTATTTCTTTATTGCGTAAGTGCATTACAAACATGCCAAGGAACTTGATACCATAAACAATGGACACTATTAACTACGTTGACTTGGTATCTTTATCAATTGTATCCTTATCTGACGCTAACAGTTTTTGGTTTGTGTCTGCTAACCGTGCTTTAGGGTTCGAGTCCGCTTACTACCCCACTTTGCTCGCAGGGTGTGTCCGCTAACCACCCAATTACCTGTCCAGGGTGTGTCGCTACCACCCACTCTTGTTGCTATCCCAGGGAGCACCCAGTGTCCTTAGTCCCATTTACTGCCAGATTTGTCTCGTTTTTATTCATACAATATTATTAGAGAGTGAATTGTTGTTAACAAGATATAGTGACATAGAATTTACCACGGTAGTAAAACAGGAGAAACTAACTCAAAAGTAAACATAAAATGTCCTCATCAATATTAGCTGTGCACACATTTGGTGTGCTCTGAAATCCTTTTCCAACATAGCCAGATGTCCTGTGTTGTGGAGAGATGTCCTTGCAACAAAAACATACACTACATGTACCTGTTGTTGTAGCTTTCTTCTTTTTCTCATGTTGAGTAATTTCTTTATCAACCATTACAGTGAACATAGAAGCAGCTTCATCATCATCAGGAAGAAACTGAGAAAGGGGATAACATAGAAAGATTTTAACCAGGATTTGCACTCTTACAATAAGCGTCCTTTCCCTAACAAACCCCCACCCACCTCTCAAGTTCATGATGACCCTTTATTTCAATAGGGTGCGTAATTACAGTCAAGACTGTAGTTTCCCTTATGGCCCTCTATATGAAACTAAGTTACAACATGACTAATTACAGGAAGTTTAAGCATTACAACATAGGAACTAAGCTACTAGAATGTTACAATAATAGGAACTCTCCCACACTTAGACTTGTGTTTCTGGGGGAAAAGAGACAGTGTTTTGTTTTATATCGAGAGCCCTTCCCTCTTATTCAAACATATATATCTGCTTCAAAGTAAATAATGGGTGGCATGAATTGATGTCAGGTTCAAACATTGCTCTAAGATAACATGTGCAGTTCAGCCTGTTCTCGTACATCTCATGCAACAATGAACATACCTTGCTAAGAACTTGCAGAAATGCTGCATTGGTATCTAAAAAAGAACAAATATGCAAATATATGTCAGAACATTAGTACGTCTTAAAACATGACACAGCTTAAGTAGCTAAAAGACATATCCCACCATGAGAGGTGTTATCTGATGGAGGCAGTTTAAGTAAACCTCTGGCATGTTCTATGAATGCTGAGAACAGTTCTCCTCTTCCCAGTAAGAAAAAGTCTTTCAAAATCTGCAAGAGAAGTTAAATTACACTTATATTGACCAGTTATTTATAGATTCCATGAAGCCGTGAAGATGTCTGTCTGTCTGTCCATCTGTTTGTCTGTCTGAGGAAGTCTAACACCTTGTTACTATAAAGTTCTCATTCTGTTTCACATTTATCCGTTACTGATGGTGTAAAAAACACCGAGATAACTGTAATTATTACATTTATTTTATTACCTATTCAGTTACAAGCTATCTATTCATCGTGTATCACCTGTAAATGTTTCAGTAGGTTCACCTCCTCAACAACAAGCTTCCAAAGATGCTAAATATAAGGAGAGGTAACAGAAAAAAACCTGAATATAAGTTTGTAGTACATTACAACAGTTACTGTATGTTTACTATAACAATAGCGGGTTGTCGCTAAGCGCCAGCAGCCAGCGAAATTTGCTGGCTGAGAAAGATGTGATCACCGGCTGGATTTTGGTGGGCAATCACTTGGTAAAGGACAGCAAACAGTTTTTAGGTTATGCAAATACAATCATTCAATATATCTTTCTGCGTACTGTGTCCACCATCTTGTAAACACGAAACTTGGTAGCGCCGCATTCAAGGTGTTGCAAAAGATTGGGAACAAAAATTTTGTTTCAGGTCTCTTTGCAAAAAATGGTGACCAGCTCAATAAAAACCTTAGCCAAGAGATTCTTTACTTAGCTACAACCCTGTAATTGTATACTTGGCTGTCACTTACCTGTTTTAGTACTCAACAAAACACTAAGGAAATCCAGTAAATGAAATAAATAATTTGATTCAGCCTTCTGATATATAAACCAGAAATTAACAGCATATGTAGACAGAACAGATTAGATCTTCAGAATATTGACCAAAAAGAACAAGGTATGTCTGACAAGCTTATCTATTTTGGTTAATACTTCAAGCCACCTTGTCAGCAGAGTGTATTACTGCAGTATTGTTAGATATGACATGATAATTTTAACATGATTTGTATACCATAAAATTCTGATAAGTGCTGCTCCCCCTGGCCAATGCCCCAATAACAAGCCCAACCTGGATCTTAGCTATAAACTAAGATAAACCATAGGATACTTACCTCAGCAACACACAACCTGATCTTGTCAATTTCATTTTCAAACAACATTAAGTTAAACTTAGGCTGTTGTTGAAGTGAATATAAAGACTTGGTGAACTCAAGTTCTTTATCCTGAATAACAGAACCTGCAGAATAAGCAGAGGGTGTCTGCTGAGTTATTTAAATAAGCTACCAAAAGATTACAAGTAAATGAAACATTTGAATTAGAATGAACATACTGCTGTAAACAGAATTTTTTGTTTTCTTGGATCCTTTAAACATTCCAACTGATTCACCAATAAACAAAACCTACAAGGAAACAAAATTAACACAAATTTAAAAGTTTATCCAGACAAAAATGGCAGCTACAGTAAAAAAACTTCACATAATTTATGTGTATGGGCACCTATGGACTTGGGGGATGGTGACCTACTTGCCTGAAAAAATAGCGTAAACCTCAATGTGTCAGTGTTGAAATCATGAAACAACCCCATTTAAATTGCTGAAAAACAATAATGGCACACTTCTCACATCTAATGAAACTCTTATAATTCCAAAAATAGTTATTTTGAAACCTCGCATACTTTATGACCTCTATAAACGGTCTAACCAATCTTGTAAAATCAGTAACCATGAATAGGCATGAAAGTTAGGTGCAAACTGCAGCAGATGCCAGTGATTGGCAGATCAAAAGCAGAGTCATTCAAGTGTTTTTAAATAAATGTGCTGCAGAAGTTAGACTACTCAAGACGAGCATCTCAATATACTCGAGACGCTCAAAGTACCAACTCTCTGAAGAAACAACTGGGCAGTCTAATCATACAAGGACTGTATTTTTTACAGGTTTTGGAAATCATGCCTACAGCATTATTTTGGAATGTTTTCTCCTAAGTGGTGTTGCCTGAATCATGAAAATTTTTTCCTGCAAAATCACACAATTTCCAAAACTTGACAAGCTGCCATGCCCCCTGCCCCCACAACCCACATGCCAATGAAACTTTAAAAACAAATTTTTGCAGTGAGGAAAATTAAAAATCAAGCTTGTGATTGAAATTAACAAAGATAATAAGGAATATCAACCAGCAAAAGTTTAGGTTAGTAGCCCTGAGAAAATAACTAAATCGTAATTTTGTATGCCAGTGGAACACTAGTTCCCACACAAAATTTGTTACCTTATCAGCCACTCTTGTGGGAATATAAGATGGCAGCATTTCTGCATTTATTCTAAACTGCCATTGAGCAGGTGTTTGCTTCTTTGCTTCACCTTCCTGCAAAAAAATGAGAGAAATTTCAATTCTCATGAGTTACTGAGACTTTCAATGACATGCAAATGCTGCACAATCAACAGTTTTGTGTTTTGTTGCTGTCAATATCTTACAAAACCTCTCAGGAAACAGAACTTTACATCAAGGGGTTCAAAAGGTCACATCTGTGGGTGTGTGACTGGTAGATTTTGATCCATTTTTTGGTGCCTTACTTCTACGTTCATTGGTTGTTGCCATAATTGCACTTTTTGGCTGCCAAAAATGCAATGTTTGTTACATGTTGGTTATGTAGACCACTCTCTTAAGTTAAGATAAATAAATAAATAAATAAATAAATAAATAAATAAGTAAGTAAGTAAGTAAGTAAGTAAGTAAGTAAGTAAGTAAGTAAATAATAACATTGTTAAGATGCCAGTTTCTCATTTCCTGACCAGTTCACATCAATTCCTTACCAATATTTCTGCTAGCTGCCTTCCTGTTATTCCAGGTATTCCCAGGTCATTGCTGCTACTTGACACATCATCATCTGTCGTATTCACTGTCTGGTCGTCAGCAGCAGTGACCTCCTTGATAAAGAACTCATTGTGTTTATCAATGTGAATTCCATAGAGGACCCAGGCACTGAGTTGTTTATACATTACACCATGACACACAAAAAGGATTCTGAACAAAAGAAAATGAAACCAAAAAGCTCATCAAGTTAGTTTGCACATTTGTGGTACCATATCATTTGTAGTGCAGAGTGCACTATTGGGATGGTTTAGGGGGCTACTGTTCAGTAAGGCACTAACACAATAAGGTGTAAACTTTAATGTTTGTTTAATTAATTTCAAGTAATCAGTTAGCCTTGCGGGAAGGGGGTTGGGTGGGGTAACTATAGGTACCCGTGTGCATTACGCAAAATGTGACATACTTACATTGCTTTCTTTGATAACTTGACAAAAATATGTATATGGTTTTGCAAATCTCATGCTATCACTGTGGTGCTATTCTCTTAAGAACAAAAGAAATTCGCTCCAAACGCATGCACAGATTAGTTAGCGTCAAAGTTGACTATATCTTAGCATTCTCGTCCCCAGAGGCCATGCTCCTTTTGGTCAGCTCCAAGAATCGCGACCTCTGGGAAGGTCCAATTTTTTTAGCATGTGCAGAGTAATCGTTTTGTATTCTCAGCCAGTCAGATTTGTCAGACTTGACTCTAAGCATGTGCATTTTATAATAAAATTTGGAATACTATATCCTCAGAATTTAGATCTGAGTTACCTTTCTAAAGCATCCCTCACATCAGGGATACCACAATTACAACTTTGGTGCAAAATGTCCAGGATTTGACATCCTGAGGCCTGAGGATGAAACACATCACGGTCAACAGTCAGCAATTACTATTTAGTTTCTTGAGCTCCACAGGTCATACTCTTGGGATTAGCAGATTACGCAGTTACAGAAGAACTTTACAGCTCTTCTTATGTCACTTAATCATTCTATCGACTTAACTCATCTTACATGATTCAATCCCATAAGAATCAAATCAAATTTGGTTTTAACATTTCTCACCCTCCCTCCCTTGGAGAAGGGCTTTTACTTGTTATTTGCAAATAAACTAGGGTCACTCCTTGTGTCTTGCCATCATATACCCTGGCCTTTATCTTGTCCGATCCAAACTGTGCTGTGCTGAGGAGATAAGAAAGCCTCTGCCAATACTCTTACAACTTCTATTCCCACATTAGTGGGGGAATAAGAAACGGCTTTTAGTTTGTGCGCCTATCATGAAGTCACATCAAACCTGACACAGGGCTCTGTCCCCCTCAATTACGCCATATTGTTGTTTACGTATTTTGTTGTCGTTACCTTTTTCCTGGTTGTGTTACATTCTTCACTTAGTTTGAACAATGGAATAGTGACATTAAATTGCACTTCTCAGCAAACGTGTACTGCAAGCTCACAATAAAATTCAACACAATATTGATATACCTTACTAGCTTGAATCTGCTCAATAACTGTCCAAAGTGCAGGAAACAAAACTTGATACTGAAAAGGAACAAAATTTATTAACATGATCCATCAAAATATAATCGTCATGATCAGTGCTCGTTTGCAAACATGACGTCAACATATTTACTACACAATTCTAATTCAATTAATAATGTTTCATTAATAAAACTAATTTTTTCAACAGACCTGTTCCAGGCTGTGTTCAAGATAAGTCAGGGGTACCTAGGGATCTTCAAGAATCTAGTATGGTTTTAAGAAAATTAAAAAGAAAAAATGTAATTATTGATACCAAAATAAAGAGAGCACTACTTTTTTCCAAAAATGTATACACTCAGGCTACATATACTTTGCAAAGATCACAATAATCTTTTGAACAAGGTTACTCACAATGCCTCTAAAATGTTCAGCTTTCTTCAAAGATTTTAACAAAATCCGATAGGAAATCAAGCAATTTAAGTTTTGAGGGGACAAAAACCTGGTACCAGAATAATTGGTTATTTTACAATCCTTTTTACATTTTCTTAAAGCTAAAGATACAAATAGTTGCCTGAAGTAACACCGAAAACAATTTCCCATGGGAACTTGAGAAAATATATTTCAGAGTTCAGAGATATTATACAAAGGTAAAATTTCATTATCAGTTTCATTTCACCAGTACTTTCAAGTGTTTCATACAGAGTTCAAAATTTGTTTTCAACATTTGGTGTTGTTAGAATTGTTTTTAAGAAGATATTCATACAGTCACACAGAAGTTTGTGATACAATGTAAATAATGTTGGTACAAAGTTTTTGTCCACTTGTCATTCAAACTTCACGTGGATTCCTTTCTAATTTATCATTAATATTTTCGAAAACTTTTATAAATCTGCAGGTTTGTAACACAACCAAAAAATATTTAAATCAGACATTTTCTTACTACAATATCAATTGTTTCTCAACATACATGTTGTTAATGTAGGTCAATTTGTTCATTAGGTCAGAATGATCTCAACCTACATTAATTTATGTCAAAGGGAACCGGGGGCTGGGACCATTAACTTATTAGACCAACAAATTTGAGTAAATTTGCAGCGATTGCTCAACTGGCCTAGTGAAGAGGAATGTGGACTACAAAGTCAGAGATAAGGTGTTCAAATCTAGGTGAGTACAAAATAAAAAAGTGATCGGGGGGAGGGGGTAGGTTTAGGGGAGGGAGGTTGATATGGGATGCTGGCAGGGCAGGGTAGGATTAGGAACTGAGGGGGGGTAACAAATAATATTAATCTGGCTTGAACTCATTCAGACCTAAAGTTTCAATGAAAGGTCGTTTTTTAATGTTACTATCCTGCTAAACAGATATATAGCAAAATTGCCATCTGAAGGTTTAACCATAGCAATGCACTCTCATTTATTTAAGATTATTTACTAATCACTAAAAAGTAATATAATAATTATAGGTACAGTAGTTGGTATAAAGTAGATGACAAACCTGTTTTTGCTAAAAGACTAATAACAGATAAATTATTACCTGTTTTTCTAAATCAATCAGACATTTCCTGTAGGAATCAAGAACTTGATCCAACCCAATGCAGAATGCCTGGATGTACAAACCAAACAGCTCCTGTTGTATTGTTCCTAGAAGCAGTAAAATTTCCAAATATCCAGAACGTTTGCACAGAAGGCTAAAATACATTATAAATTAATATGATTGTTTATACAAATGAGCTATAAGAATGAATGTTACAATAATAGCCATAAAAGATAGAGCATCATTTAAATATGATACTCAAAGAGAAGCTTCATAAAACATATTTACATGTAACATCATAATAAAATAAAAACAGCTAAAATCAGTTCCATTAAAGATTATAATTTAAAGATCATATGGGAACCAAAACCAGTGTATGTTTGAACAATATATGACAGAACTAAGTGTCTGAAAAGCAAGGCTATACTGAATAAAAATTTGCTGTGCATCAATAATTTCATTTTAGAGTAAGAGTAGTAAGAGTTCCCAAACATTACACATTACACATGACGATATACAACTGTATACTAGTTATGCAACAATTATTTGTCCACAAGCATGCGTTGGATGTGAGGTGATAGATAGCCAACTGGGCAAGTAGCGCCGAGTTGGCTAAATCATCTCATATCCAACAGGCATGAGTGGAATAATTGTTTTATTAAAAATGCCCCCCAAACCCCCCCCCCAAAAAAAATTAATTAAAGAAAATAATAGTTATAAAGAAAACTAATAAAACTAAAATGAAAAATACCACATGTATGCTTACCATATTTGTAGAGCATGGTATAATGGCCCATAACCCATGATGGCTAAGCCAACAAAAACTCTCAAATTGCATTATCCAATGATCCAGTTCTTTATAACATGAATTTTCTTGCCATGCACATTATTTATATTTCTTGTAGAGGTAAACAGCTTCTGAGTTAATTAAATAACATTTAATAATGAATACATCAATGCAAAATTTCCACAGTTTACTCACCATTATCTCTTATAACAGGAGAAACTTCTGAATACTTTCTGCAAAATGTCTGAAACTTTCTGAAGTAGGATCCAAGTTTGCAAATTCTATTTAGGAGATCAACTTCACTTCCATGGATAAATGGCAAGTCAGCGGCAACCTTAAAAGTCAAACATAATTATCTACAGAATCAGAAGTTTATAAACGCTTGGTAAGATCTTATGTACTTATAAATGATAAGTCATAAGGGGAATGGAATTTAGCTAAAAACTTACAGCAATATAATGTCGGCCTGTAATGGGGACTTTTGATCATCAATTATTTTTTTGTTCAAATACCCTAAACTGTACAAAGCCTGAGTGAATGAGAGTTCCAGCCTAAATAACTATATTTCTGGAATTCATTTTTAATTACTAATCAAGAAAACAGTGACCCCATAAAAAGAAAAGACTTGTTGCTTATTCCAATTCCAAAATTCCAAAATTCACAAATTAAGCTTAAGCTAAGTTTGAAAAAAAAAAAAAATCGCAGATTAAGAAGGTGACTGCCTTCTCAAGACTTCCGGAAACAAGATGGTAATATAATTATTGTTTTAAATTTTGATATTAGTGGAATTATTTCTTCAAGACATTGAGGTCATTCAGCGATCAGTTGACAGGTGAGCGGTCATTTGAAATATATTTAAATTACTCTTGTGTGAGTATGTTTCTTCACTTCAATTTGAATATTCATGAACATTGACCTTTTTCCATTGTCCAAATATACAAATGTATTTTAGATATTCAAAAGTGAAATAAATTACCAGATCAGACTTGACTTGCATTTGTTTACTTAGTAATCATAATCGTATTGTTTGGACTGTAAACTTATTATATATTGGAGATTTAGACAATGGTTTCTTTGCTATGTTTTTAAAAAATCAATATTGTTAANAGAGACGCTAAAAGTGCTGTTGCAACGATTTTGTTATTAAAAACATACCAAAAATGGTTTTTATGTTACAATTTACCATGTAGTTTTCAAAACTTTATAAGTGTGTTTGATTTTCTATATGTAACGGCGAATTCTAAAGAAAGCTGTGAAGAAATATCCCCTCCTTCTATTTTCAGAAAAATGCTGATGTCAGCATTTTTGTTGAGATTCAAGGCTAATTATCTCGAAAAAATGCGTGGCTACCCTCTTTTTTTTCTTTGTGGATTCCGATAGCCCTTGCAAAGATCTACTTTTTACGCAAGGCCCTAACCTGGCGCAAAAACCTTTGTATTTAGTAGGCACCGTCCTTAAATATTTCAAAGCTACTGTAAGATTGGCGCCAAAAGGTTGTAAGCTTACATTCAGCTGCGAACACACACCTTAAGTCCTGCAAATTCTTTGTGCACAAATGCACCACCAGAATATCCAGATAACGCTAAAAGAAGCTCGTGTAACATCTTTTACAAGTCTTCAGAAAAACAAATCGCGAATCGATATGACGATCAACGAAATGTCCGCCATCTTCTTCAATATAGCGCATGTGTGGTGTCCAGTCCCTTGAGTTAAGTCCCCATAATGCAGCTGAAGCCCCTCGCTCACTCTCTTTCCGTCGCTTCTTTTGCCCTTCTCGTTACAGAGGAGACGAACGATGAAGGTAAAAATAAATAATATTGGGTTCATAATTATATAGAAATGCGTACATAAATGAAAACAATGATTATCCTTGTCTCTATTTATGACTTGTGTAAGAAGGGATGGGGTTTTTTGACGCTAGATTT